GAGCGACGGCGACGGTGGACGGCGACGGCACGGCGGCTAGGATAGAGGTACCGGGCAACGATTCCGCCCCGACGGTACACCGACTCGGTGCGACGGCGATGGCGACTCGGTACGACGGCAGCGGCGGATACCTGGGCACGGGGTGAGTGGTGTGGAGATTTGCGTGCTAGGAACACGGGGACGTCAGCGGCGCCAGACTCGCAGAAACTTAACCGTTTCAGGGTCTGGCGGCGCGTTGCGGCCGAAGGGACGACGCCAGGGCGAAAATTACCGAGAGTCGAGGATCACGCTGTGGTCCGCTGGCTTTCGCCTTTTCGCCCCGCGGTAATCCCAAGTCGGCCGCTTCGGTCGTCCCCACCGGTTCCGCAACACAGAATCTCACTTCGCTCTCTCCGCGTCTCGGTCTTCGCCGTCCGTCGGCCGAGTCATCACGCCGTCGACCGTCGGTACGCGCAAGACATCGCGCACTAGCCGCCGTCCGTCGCCTTCAACCGTGGTCGCTCCCGTGGCCGTCTCGGTCTGGCCTCGCCGGCTGGGCAAGGTCGTCAAGCGTCCGAGCAAACGCGCCAGGGACACTCGTCAACCCGCGGGGACAGGTCTGAGAACGTGCAGAGGTGACCAGTGGCCAGCAACACTGCATTTCTGCACCAATCGCCATCTCGCATCCTCCCCCCCTTGTTTATTGTGTCTATCCTGTCCGTCGTAGTATTTTTTTTTTCTTTAAACTTAAGTGCTTTCAAAATTCTAAATTGTTAAATTGTTGTTCACACATTTAAATTTCGGTTTTTTTTTTCTAATTTGCGGCCTTTTCTATTATAATAAAAATATTTTGTGAACACAAGAAAATATTGTTTCTTTTTTTCGTTGTGTTGAGTGTATAATCAACTTTTACAGATTTAACGACTAAAAATCGTTAAAATATATATTTTAAATAAAAAACCTCATTGGTCGATTATACAGAGTATAATCCAAAAGTAGTATCCAAGAGTATTTTCCAAGAAAAATTCAAGCCATCAAGCACTAAAGGCGACTGCGGAATAAATCATAAAATAACGCATTACACCGGCGGATACGATATGGACGGTTATATAAACCATACAAGAATTGTAAACAATAATAATGTGTATTGTGTAGAACGCTTAATATAGTCAAATTGACTCAAATAGTTGATACAAAATAATATTTAAAAAAAATCAAAATTGTATTTTACATTGGTAAAATAATAATATAATACTGCATGTCCAAAAATAATATTGTTTGAAAACATTTCGGTTTAGCTGGTTTGAACCATTAAACCTCCGTGTATACGTGCATGTACCGATACCATATTTTCTACATAATTATTGACTTGAGTCGTAATATCCTAATCCGAACAAAACCTGATACCTATCTTTTGTAGGTAGTATAGGAAATCACTTTTTCAAGGTATGTGAGTTTTGACAGTTGTTGTACAATAATAATATATTAACTATAGGTATGACCACACATTAGATTTTGCACTGAAATAGGTACATCATTATACATACTACATAGGTAGCAAATATATATTTTAAAGTTAGATCCGAATATAGAATATAAATCAATATTAGTTATTGCTCATATCAATATTGATAACACGTCCTTGAATTTTAAAATAACTTTTGGTTAAATATACAATTCTAAAAACTTGAATATTATGTTATATTTTATAGAAAAAAATAAAAACGTGTAAACTATATTATTAATATTTATATACTATTCTAAATAATTCCTCGCCAAGTAAATCAATTATTGAAAGAAAATAAGTTTAATTAAATTCAATATACTTAGTATATAATCATGATATCACATCTTTATAGTGCTTAAAAACCTTATATTTTTTTTACTTAGCCATTTTCACAGGTAGTTTACGAAGATTTATTGTTGTGATATCACTAATTTTTATCGTTATTAAATATTGAGTATTTAATATTTACACAATAATCTATAAGAACGGTAATATTGTTGGTAACAATGCCACAATGGCAAAGGCTGATGCGACGACGACGACGGCGGCTACCATGTTTCTGAATTTAACATAAATTTCCATTAAAAAATTCTCACTTTTTCATTTATAACTTAATTTCTAAAAGTACGATTTTGATGATTTTTACAAAAGCAAGTTCTACGCAATATTTCTGATGTTTTGGAGTTTACTTGGGGCTAATTTATGAAATAGAAAGTTAGTTATGTCTATGTGTATGTCTTATAACAAATTTACCTGTATTTTACACAGCTTAAATAGGCAACTCCTGCTTCTATATACTATACATCACAGACCGTTGTACAGTTATTATTTTATTTTTAATTGCGACTGTGTGGCTGAATATCATTCATATACAATATGGTTAATAAAAGAAAATTAATTGTACCAATATTACATAATAATTATAGGTAGTTTGAATATTGATTAGATAAAATAAAGTATTAACAACAATAATTAAACTTAAAATTTACACTGCCTGTCTAAATCAGCATTTAATGCCATTATTAGCTTACCATAATATTTCTTATTGGAATATTAATTTTGTACCTACAATAATATAGCCATATATAGGTACAATAATTGTTGAATCAAAGTAATACCTATTTGCTATATACATAATTGAGATTCATATAAAAACAAAAACAAACCGCAAGGAAGTCCGACTTCTATAATTAATAGGTATTATTTTTTAAGTGTATATTCTTCATCATTGAGGTCACTGTAGTCTGTAATGTATATGCGTGTAATGTACTTAATTATAATAATATTACCTATACGAAAAACGATTCTGAGCAGATATGGCCTGCACCGACTATTTCTAAGGATATTTTATTTATATTACAATAATTAAGTAATTTTAATATTCTTCTACTGTAGTAATACCACAGATTATATAAAATTAATATAATATAATGTAATATAATCTGTGGTAATACGGTAACCGGAAGATTAAACTTCCCTCCCCAAGAAAAAAAAATGTCAATTATATCCTAATATATTATTGTTATTAACTTACAACGTATAATAGGTATGAGTCAATACGACAATATCACCGACGAGCGTATTTTATAAAGGTGTCGTACCTATATATAGAATTTATTATGTTCATAGCATACAATTTTATTATTCTAAATATTTTAAAAATTTCGTTGGGAATAGAAAATAAAACAAACATGATTGAGTACAATTCTAGATCCCAATAAGTAAGTATGTTTTGAATTACAACAAAATCGATTTTTACGAAAACTGCATACATTAATTAGTTTGTTAATTAACCCCATAACAGTATGTCTGCAGTATTTAAAAGATACTTTTTTTAAATGATTTAATTTGAATAACGCATTTAAACTTTAAAGTACAACGTAATATTATTATTATTATTTTATTGTTGTACCTATATAATATTATATAGGTAGGTATTGGCATATACCATATAGCATGCGCATATTATATAGTATTCCTTGCTGTGTTTAAATATATATAATCATATGGATATTTAGGACTTCAGATTTAGATTAAGTTAACCCACGTCGTTGGACTACGACGTCAATAAACAAATAAATACTTTTAGGTTTCGTGTTGATGAATGACACGCGTTTTATCGTTGATGATACCTATATATAATATATGTTATATATAAGTAGGTATGATGAGAAAAACAAAACACAAACCGACCGAAAACCATTGTTTATCCTATATTGGTATAGTTGGTACAATCAGGTCACGGAACTTGCGAACTAATATATAAAGCTGGATAATTTACTCATGAGTTATTGGTATACCTGCCATGTCTGTATAAGTACCTACAATAATGACGAATAATAATGAAAATAGAAAAATTTCAGCATAGAAATATCAGAAAAAATTCCAAAAATCGTATGTTGTAAACACCAATCTTATATACGTGTAGTGGCGTAGCCAGGAGAGGGTCTTAGGGGTTGCAGCTCCCCCCCCCCAAAAAAAGCTGAGAAAATTTAAAAATTATTTTTATGGTCTATGACTATGGTCTCCCAAAAAGTCTTAAATTGTATTTAAAATATTTAAAATGTACCTACTTTAAGTATTAACACTTTTCAGCTATATATCTGTGCTAGTACGTATTTAATGTGTAAAAGGATAAAAGTTAATCACCGACCCCCCCCCCTGAAAAAAAAATCCTGGCTTCTCCACTTTATACCTCTATAAATGTGTATATAAACGTAGTAAGTACATAAATACCCAATACAATAAGTAAAAAACGGACAAACGATTGGGACTGACAGTCATCGTGTCTTTTTGACGTCATGTGTGTATCGTGTGTAAATACTAAATATAAATATCATATAATATGATAATATGCCTATAATACCTACAATACACGCACATCCGTATGCGTACTCTAATATAGCGTGTGCATGTAAAATACTCGTCATGTGCATATATTACGCCCAAATTCGATCGCTGCCGCCGCCGCCTAAGAGCAATATAGAATAATAATAATATATAATCGTTGGCGGAGGACGCCCACGGTCGAGGAATCAGCGTTGCGCGCGACGAAATCGCATGTACCATATATAACATATACGGGGTGGTCCGCATTTAACTGGTTACGGTAATTTTAAGTCATAATATGTAATAGGTACGATGTAAGCATATATATTTTTTAAAGTGTAAAGTATTTATGACACAACGTTTTTACAAATAAAAATATGTATAATAGTTGCTTACTATTGTTATTGTACCTACCTATAATCTATATAATATTATGATTTATGACTATCTGAGAGTGGTATCTTAGGGTTTTTTGATCTCGTTTTCAATTTATCATATATAATATATTAATTTAACTACACAACTTGCAGGAGCAGAATGCTTTTCTGAAAATGTTGACGTGTATTGACTATCGATATCGAATAATGAACAAAATATGGGAACTCCTCGCCTGCATAGTATATATTTAACTCAGGTACGCACGAAGATGGACTAAAGAAATCATATAGCGTAGCACCGCGTAAAAATGGAACATCCCGTATATACAATATATATGTATAAACGTACTCGTATACGGGCGCTAAAGGTTTTCCTTGTTTTCCGCGGTGCGTGGGCGGCGGTTGCGAGGCGTCTGCGGGGGTGGTTTGGGGCACCGGTGTCGGTGCGGGTCGGTTACGGCGGCGGCGAGAGGGTCCGCTGTGGGCGACTCAGCTACAACTGTATGGGTTATACGACCGTGCAGTCAGACGGCAGCGGTGGAGTCGTTGGAGGTGGTGAAGGTGGGTGTGGAGGCGGTGGCGGCGTTGTAGCTAGTGTGTGTGTTGCGCCCTCGACGGGGGTGCGCGCGGTGTTCCGTTCCCTTCCCTTACGACGCGGCACTGCCGCGTATAGAGTAGTCGGTTCCGAGGGACCCGATCGATCGTCGAGCGGACGCCGCTCACCCACACACACACACACACGAAAACTTTCGCACACACTGACGTGAAAACTTACACACACAAACACTATATATGACACTATATAACGTACAGTGGGACGACGCGCGCGCGCACACGCATACAGACGGTACTGGCGGACACTCACACGCGCGCGCGAAACCTCACGGCAGCCAGTGCCTTCTACAGTCGTCGTCGACGCCGCCGCCGCTGGCAAAAACAAACTTTAATGTCAAATAAAATTCTCGTCCGGTACCATCTCACATTGTCGTCGCCGTCGTCATCGTCGCTATAATAATAATATAACATAATATTATACCGCGCATATCACGCCAGCCCGGTGTACCCTTATATGTTATCATAATACCACATACCTACGCATAGGTGCCACCGAGAAAATTCTATATCTGCGACCGAAGAGGAATATATATTACATCTATTCGCCGCGCAGCGCAGGTCCTAAGACATAACTATACGCTGCACCTAGGCGCGCATATACTATATTATAATATAATATATAGTATAATATAATCAGTCGTCGTCGTACGACTCGCACATTCGGCGTACAGCAGCGACCGTAGTCGATTCATTCCGATCGCTTTACGGGCAAAATGTGAGTATAAATGTATAATATTATTATACCTATAGTAATAGGCATACATATTATTTTATTATGACGTTCGTCTATAAGAACAGTATATAGTTACAATAAAATGTGTAATATATATTTCATATAATGGCTTTGTCGTGTCACGTCAATTTCATATAGGTACACTCGTCAAAACGTACCCCCGTGAGCTCGAGGGTCACGTCGTTTTCGAATTCCCACAAACTTTCCTCGGTTGCGGCGGCGGGGAGTGGGATAGGCCGTTTTCGCTCAACGCCCAAACGCGGTCGAGTATATAGCTATACAGTGCTCTCCGCTCGACACTCTCCACCACCCTCCTACCCAAACAAACCCTTCCAGACCGTCTCCGACAGGATTCCGCTTTCGGGGAAGTCCGCTCCACCACAACGACCGCCGCCGCCACCACCACGCCCGTGCGTGCGAGATATATGTTACCCTCGTAACAACCCTTGCTGAATGCTTACGCGATACTTTCGGCAGATACCGTTTTTTTTTTCCAGATAGGCGTATATTATAATATATCGCGTTTCGGGGCCTTTGTAATATGTATAATGTATATACGTTATAATATAATATTATGTTAGGTATTATGATGTGTACGTGTTTTCATCCGGGCTTTCCCGCACGTAATCCCGTAGGCGGCCCCCGCCGTTTTTACCATCGATTTATCAGTGGGAGGCGGCGATGATGGTGTGTCCTGTGTTGTATTATTATGTATAGCTATACGCAGTTCCCTACCTACATAGGTATAGGTTAATTTCAGCTGCACTTCGTCGGTGTATTATACACACGATATTATATTATTTACCGCCAGTGCACTATATATATGCAGCCCCTATTTAGTGTACACTGTGCAGTACGACACAAGTACGAAAATTCAAATGTTCAGTACCTACTATTTAAAAAAAAATGTGTAGCTTACATGTGTAGCATTCATAAAATGTCCAAATTATCTTTACAACTTCGCCCGTATGCTCACACTTAAAGCTGCAGCTTGATTAATATTATACAACATAAAGTGTGCTATACGCCTGTCTTTTACGATTTTTTTTTTTTTAATTGTGATTAGTACTAGATTAATATTCACGTGATATAATACCTAGAATATGTATTTCTGAGGTTGCTACGAAAGTATTGTAGAATACTAGTATCCAATGGAATATAAATTAAGTACATTTTTGACCAAATGACCAGTAACGGCAGAAAATAGACGATTAACTTTTTTATATGTAACAATTCAATATTATGATCATTTTGTGGAAGCATATCACACATTTATAACGATAAAATTAGTAGGAAAATATTATCAATACTTACAAACTAAGTACGTAAAAGTGTTAATATGTATATTGAATAAACTATAAACTATATAGTATAATATGTATGTGGCAACTATTCATATTTTTTATATTGTTTTTTCGCCACTTCAATTTGAAAACCATAAAATATTAATTTTTGATTTTGGATGGAGATTAAAGAACACTATTAATTTTAAGTATTTTATTATTAATTTTCATGAATTTAATATTATCTACTCACTCAACTATAATAACTTTTTATTCTACACACTTCAGAAGCGTATACTTTGCATATGAAATCGTTAAAAAACTTTATTTCTTTAACAAAAAAATGAACGTCAAAACGCCTAAGTTTACCTTGTATATAATGCCTCAGTATAGTTATAATTATTGCTTCTATGTTTGTTTTCAAAATTTCAATAAATAATTAAATTTGTAAAGTTAAATATTAAAAAGTTAATTCTGAAAAAAAAGTCAACAAAATTAATTCGTATTGCACTAGGTACTCGATTTTTTCCGATCTCCACACCCTTAAAATCACCCGGAACGTAAGTCGGTCAAGTGAACTACATAATATTATAGATATATATTATGTATGTACAAACACGTATTGTATACGTTTGTATATTGCTAACTTTATTACGACGGCTATTGTGTAAACGCGTGTCCTGTACACACCTTCAGAAATCCGATGTGCAAACATGGCCCCGCCGAGCACGCGTGACAAATACGACAAACAGTATTTCGTGTAATTGAGCAAACAAACTAGGGTCGAAATACTTTTTTGTATAAAATGTAATACGCCCTTCTTCGTTTCTCGCGTCGCTATAAAGAAACCACATACTCGTACAACGATCGATGATAATGATGATGACGAGGACGATGATGATGATGATGATAATATTAATTTTATATTAATACACGTATTATGAGTTGCGTATGTATGATACAGGGCCGATGGAACAGGCGCTGGACTTACCGCAGGAGATGACACAGTGGTCGGAGGCCCAAAGACACCACAGCAAATCGCGGCGCAAAAGCGATTGCAACAAACACAAGCACAAGTCGATGAGGTGTGTACGAGCGCAAAAACGGTGCAATTTATTTGTAACTTACTGTATATTACTCGATGTATTTTAGGTGGTGGATATTATGAAGACGAACGTGATGAAGGTACTGGACAGGGATCAAAAACTCTCCGAACTGGATGACAGAGCAGGTTTAAACCGTTTTTGCTCATGTTTAATATAATTTTTTTTTTATTATTGTTAATTATTTGTATTCATTTTTTTCACAGATGCATTACAACAAGGGGCATCGCAATTTGAACAACAAGCTGGAAAACTAAAGAGGAAATTTTGGCTACAAAATTTAAAGGTATATATAGTTACATTATTCGATATTAAGAATTACTTAAAAATTATGAAAATTCATATTCGTTCAAGTATTTTTATCAATATAGCTCGCCTCAGTTTAAGAGAACAAAGCTGAATTCATAATCAAAGGATTATTTTTTATTAGATTTAAAAAAATCGTTTTTTGACCATCTTGTTTAGAAAGATTAGTATATATTTTTAAAACTAACATTATTAGGCCTCGCTTCATCAAATATGTCTTTTTTTAAACATATTGTATAGACCAGTAGTTAGTAAATTAAATCAATAATTTCTATGAAAATAAACGATATTGTAGACATACAGAATAAAATTGATGGTTAGTGGGAAAGCATTAACAAAATTGTAAATTGTACATAATTTAAACAATTTATAGAACGTTAATAAACAGCACGTTCTATAACACATAATAAGCTACACGACTGTTATTACTTATTAGTTATTACCTAGTCACATTGTGTATTTGTGTATACATTTTTGATGTTCAATATATTGTAAAATAGGTCAAAATGAAAATGTCTAAAAATTACACGTTGAGGAGTATAGGGGCGCCGCCATACACTGATTCTTTTTATATTTGATCTAGGAACATAATATAAAATATGTTTTGGTATAATTAAACCTATAAATTGTTATATATATATAGTTATTTATATAGTTTATTATAAGTATATCTACCTGCAATTTTAAAATTACACAAATCGTTGCTATCTATATTCAAGTTTTGAAATTAAATGATAATATTATTATGCCTAATAAACTGTTTTATTCTTCAAAATAATTCAATTAAAAGACTAAAAGTTGACATTTAAAAAAATTTTAAACACATAAATAGGTAGGTATATAATTATTTTAATTTTTGCATATTTTGATAAAATTCGAATTTATTTTAAAACGATTTTAGATATTGAGGCTATAATAATTTTAATGGTTAAAGGTAAATTTGTATACTGCGTGTTGGATATAAAAAAGATAATAAAAAATATTGGTGTATGTAAGCTGTGGGCTAATATACCCAAACCGTTTATTTATTCCTAATGTTACCTACTATCGTAGCACAACCGGAAGTATGCGGCAAGATAACAACCACAGTATATTTATATTTAGGTATATATACATCTAATAATTGCTATATCTACATAACTACATAGGAATAGAAATATTTTTACTAAAAACTTGACACCATATTATAAACATAAGTCGATAATATTTAGAAACAATATGACTGCGCGGCTGTAAGTTGTCATAAATCTATGTATTTAATTCCTAGGTAACAAACTTGTGTTTAGAACTTGAAGTTTGGATACGCCATTCTCAGTTTTTGTAAAGTCAGTATGCTATAAAAGTCATGATTACAAGAAAATATATTACCATATTAATACATATAATATACATTAGTCCTATTTTCTATGAACTGTTATATTATGGTTTACATAACTTTTTTAAAAATTATACTAAATATTAAAAAGGTCAAATACGTTAAAACAGGGGCTATATTTCTAAACAATTTTATACTGTTAAAAATCAAATTGTAAAAAAAAATTATCGAAACTGTCTGAAAATTATGACTTGCTCCCCTCCTCACTAACCATGTCCCTGGTGCCGTCCCTGTGTTAAAATAATTAGTTAAAATCAATTAAATTATTAAAAGGCCTTTGATAAAAAAAAAAATTGCACAGACCACATTTTATAGATAAATTTAACAATAGTTACCTACCTTTATAACTTATTAGATAGTTTACTTTATACTTTTTAATTATTATTATGGTACACATTTTTAACATACAACAGTGTCTACTTTAAAAATACATTTAATTTTTAAAAAATAACTCTTTAATCTTTGAATTATTATGTATAAAAGATGGAGAAACATAAATTGTAAGAGACTTATTGGAAGAAAACTACATAATTTCTAGTTTTTGATTAACTTTAACACTGTCGTAGTAAGCAACAATCATGAATAAATCCAACTAACATTTTTTATAATGTAACAAAATACGTTCTAACTAATTCCAAGAAGATATGGTAATATTTAACAATGGCCACACCCACATGTAAATAAATAAAACAAATAGTGATACCTAATAATTACTCTTATCAATAAATACCTATACATATCTTATCGTTTTTAAAATTCTAACCAGAAAAAAATTGCATACCTTTAATCTTTATTTATTCTGACATTCTGTACTAGAATAGGTACCTACTAGTTTAGTTAAGTTATTATTAAAATACTTCGTATACAATGACTCAAAAGTCAAAAGCCATAATTAAAATAGATTTATAACATTAAATGTTGCATGCATTTAAAAATGCTTTATATTTAGGGTTGATTTGATTAATAATAAATATCACTTATATTTTTACACATCATAATATTAAACGATTAGAGGTACCTAGTACCTAACTCAACAATTAATGACTAATGTACATCATGTTTTTATCTTTATGGCTATCATACTAATATAAGTAATATATAAGTAAAACAAAATTAAGCGTTATATAATAATTAGTTCAATACCTACTTCAATTATTTTTCATTATAATACTAAAGAAATAAAATAATAGTTTTAATTAATTAATTTGTGTTTACTATACTTTGATCGATTAATATGTCCAACTAATAGGCAAGTCATACTAATTATTTTTTCTGATCTTTGCTTAAATATACTTTACTAGCTACTAAGCTACACATTACATTATGATGGCTCTATTTATTTATAACCATAATGTATACTATAGACGTGATTACGATTTAAAATAATTATTTTATTTTATTGTTGTTTAGTATTATAAAATATAATAGGTTTATGTAAGTTTTAAAAAAAATTGGAATTAAAGATTTTTTTTTTTATTTCAGATGATGATCATAATGGGAGTTATTGGTCTTGTAATATTAGCCATTATAGTTGGTAAGTTCCAATAAAAACACTTTGATGGCTTAAGAATGTATGACATACCGGGAAATTATACAAATTTACCTATTCACAAAAATAATTGTTTAAAAAACGAATACAATATACAATAGAATTTAATTAAGCATTCCTCAAGTTTCAATTATATATGATATAACATTTCAGTTAGAAACACACAAAATTAACAAATATTGTTTTTAAAGCTTATTTTTTTATTCAAAATTCAACTTTGATTTATCCTTATAATACTATAAACATAATTATGTATTATCTATATATTATATATATATTTTTTTTTTTTAGTACTTATTTGATTACCAATATAATATATAATAGTATATATACAAATATATATGTATACATTATAAATAAATACATATATATATATATATACATTTAAATATATAAATATATATGTATGTATTATGTATATAAATGATTGATGTGTTCAGCTTAAAAATATTGTTATTTAGCTGAATTTAGGACATTCGTTGTACTATAATATAAGGTCATATATAATATCAATAATATTTCCTAAATATTACTCGTTTATAATGTTTGAATAACACAGTATTATCCATTTTTAGAATAATTTATTTAGGTAAAAAGTTAATGAAATAAAACATAATTTTATTGTGCTATTATTAATAACGTGTCTTGTATTTGACAATGTATATTATATATGGGATATAATACACATTATATACCTAATATTATACATATTTAAACCCTCTCAACATACCTATTATACTCTATAGTAGTCTATACTAACACGATAAACTAGAGAAAGACATTAAACAAAGCAACGGAATATTTTTTAAAAAAGGAGACAACACATACATAATATATTATACATTAATACATTATACTTACACAATGGATAATCATGCTTTGTTTTGTGTGCTTTATATTTTTGTGTGCCGTTTATTTATTATTATAATTTTTTCGTTCCGATAACGTCATGTGTTTTATGCATTTTGTTTCGACAACCGTTGATACTTAAATACTTGAACATAATTCTTGTTGAAACAATCTAACTCGAACACACTATTCTCTTCGGTATGTAATCTATTATTAGGTAATTTGTTTTTAAATTGTAAATTATTTAATACTTTTATATTTATTCCGTGTTTTGCACTAGTATTGCTATTTAATATTTATTATCACGAATTTAATTTCAGTATTAACCACTCCTAAATATATATGAAATAGAGAATTTAAAACAAAATGCTATGCCTTAAATCCTTTAAATATTGTAGTCCACCTATTATTAAATTATTTAGTATCTATACAATTAGGCTGGTCATCAGCAATATATCTACGACCGTGGACGTGCGAACTAAAACAGCATACACAGAATATATAGACTATATTATACATTTATACATCACTTAATTTAATATCAATATTTCTTTGACTTATATTTAATTGCCTATCAGTAATTTCATTCAATCATTTATATCAAACATTTAGCTATTATTTTAAGTATCTATTTAATGTATGTACATTTGCATGGCTTGTTATTATTTATACTAACACAATATTGTGCACCATGGTATTTTAATAACCGTTATAGCAGTTCAATCAGTTGACATAATTGCAAATTATTTTTTCATCAACTTATTAATAATATATTATAAATCACTCAAAACGTTAACTTTTGTACCTATTGTAGTTTTTACAAATTTACTTTGCACTTTAAAACAATTGTTCAAAATATTGTAAATCGCATATTAATTAAATCGACTGTATTTATATCAAATGGTCATAAATGTATTGTTAGTAAGAATTTATTTTGGTAAACATAGTTATTTTACTGTAATAATAATATAATACTATCTATTATCTACACTTTAAACAATATTATACAGTACCTACCTATACACACTTCATAAAATAATAGTGATTCCTTTAAACTATACTTTATAAATTATATAATTATATGAACTATACATATTAATTTTAAAATATACCTACTTAGATCATATAAATAATAATAATAAAATTAAGGATATAAATATATTTTAGTCATTGAAATAAATAACAATACATACAACTTCCAATTATGAAAAAGTAGGTACCTATTATATTACAAAATGTAACATCATCTGTAACTTTTATATTATGATATCTGGATCTAGCTGGTAACAATCAGTATAAAAGCAACTTTCTTTTAGATTATAAATAGTTATAGTTCATAAGTTATAAATAACGAAAATATATGATTATAATATACAAATTTCCTTCTAAAACTGAATTTATTAACAGCCAATCGCGTACTTTCAACGTGTAAAATCTGATTTTTATAATTTAAATGAGTTTAATTAACGATAAAAAAAATATTAAATTCAAATTATATATATATACTGTTATAGGTATACTGTATACCTGCCTACATTTATTTTAAATACTTATACATAATTTTAAAACTGTAGGAAATCCATTAATGTTAAGTCCTTTTCAAATAGAAAATATATGAATATGTGCTATATGGTAAAGTATTTGATCTACTATAGAATACTAAATATTTACAGAATTTGTTTTATCTTGAATGTTACTTTAAGGTATGGGAAAAATAAAATAGAGAGTCGAGTCGGGTATTTTTATTTGTTAAATGTTAGCTATTTGTACGTTGTACTTATAGTATTATTAGTTAACTATGTGGTTTAAAAAAAAAATTCAAATTTTTTTGGTTTTTAAGAGTAACAATTTTAAATTATTTGAAAATTTAAAAAAATTGCAAACTATATACAATATAAGTACCACGACTAGAGTAATAGATAAAGCGTATTTTCAGTTGGCGTTGGTTAAATCAGATCTATGAATATATGAAAGCATAGTAATATAATAACATGTGGTCATGCGGTCCTAGCCCCTTGGCCTTAGATCATATATATATATTATATATATATTATCTATGAATTAATTAATTATACGGTAGATCACATACTTAATCACAGCCAAAAATATTATTTATCATAAAATACGAATTAAATGATTACAGTTTTTAATTAAATACCTACCTACTTGATATATATTTTCAATATTGCTTTTAGTAATAGGAATACGAGTATCAATATAATTGTTGGTACTTAGTAGTTACTATATTATATTATGTACTTATTTTTATAGAGCAATTTTATTTAAATTATTACCTATACTATTAAATAGATTGCATTGTTTTTTCGTAGTTATTCCGACTTATTGAATGTGTTAAAATATTTATTTTTTTTTTTTACAGCTTGGTTTTCGGACGAATAAAGCATAGGTAACAAACTTCGATGCGAGCTACGCCACACACAGTGACAACCGATCAACCGTCAAAAACGTGACTCTTTAAATGAAAAAGAAACTGAAGGTGCATTAAAATAAAAATAAAACTTATAGGTATATATACAATATACATATATAGATATATATATACTAAAAATACATAAATATCGCTTTGAAAAACTGCCCCTGCCCAAAAAAAAAAAAAAAATACTGTCGTAATAATCGTTTAAAATGATTTTTGTTATACAGACTCACAAATTTACATGACATACACGTACCTCCCTATACGGCTATTTCCATAATAAAATAAATAAAAAATAACCACATGTACTTATCTGTATATATATTATATATAACGTGTATGTATGTGTATGGGTGTGTGTATACTTTATTTAATACCAAAGTGTACGAATTCTTGATGAGTTAAACAAGAAATACAAATATCCATAAAACTAAAACGATAGAATATCCTTTTGTAAATATTACTTAAAACTATTTTATACAATGTACATGTCTATCATCACATATTATAGGACTATAACGGAGTTTGTATTCCTTCACTATATAATATATTTTATTGAATCATAAAAATTGGGTAGGATTATCAACATATTACCTGGGCGGCTGGGCTACAATAATATTATACTCATATGTATATTATTATTATTATTATATGTATGAAAACCTATCCATTGTTATTTTATAGAGTACTTCTATATTTATATGAGTATTGTTTTTACTTATATATTTATATGAGTATTGTTTGTACTTATAATATTTATATCCGCTTATTTAAATTTGAATAGTTTATTATATGTATTGGAAAAACAACAGCTATAAGCATAATATAATCTATCAAATTGTGATAAACATTGTGGCAAAATAAATTTGTTTTCAGATAATTTAAAATCATAATACACGTAACGCGTAACCCTGGGTCTAATATTAAAGGATTATTCATCAATCGTCAATTAATTTTATTTAAAAAATAAACTTTTCCGAATAAAATGAAGTCCCTCATCTTTGAACAAATCGATATTATAATAAAATAGCAACAAACAAAACAACTTAAAAATATGTTAAATCGTTATGTTATACGTTTATATAAGTACAGTAGAACTCCGATTATCCGGACTAATTAATGTCAAGGGTGGTCCGGATAAGCAAATATCCGGATGATTGACGTATGACATTTTAAAAGTTATTTAGGGACATTGTAACACGAAAATTCACTCGTTATAATAATATAACAATTGACAGACTAAACTGTGTGATGATTACACAAAAACTGACCATTGGGGGGTGCATAGGGGACTTTTGCACCACCGAGTTAACAATTTGAACCCCCAAAATATAAAATACTTATATTTTGATTATTTTGAAGTAAATATTATCAATAAATACAAACATTTTGTAAGTGGGTACTTCACTATTATGTTCCAACATTCCCAGCTAGTATAACACAATAACATAATATCAGTATAATAACAGTATAACATAATATTATGATATAATCTTTAGCTTAGGACCTTTTTTTTTCGTCTGGTTAATTGGACATCCGTTTGATTGGCGTTCGGATAATCGGAGTTCTACTGTAGACGTATTTACGTAGGAATTTAAAATAATAATAATGTATTCATGTACATTCCCATTTTTACTAGGTTAGGTGATGATTTGTATCCAAATATTAAAAACACCTGGAAAATACAGTATAAAGCATTTTAAAATCAAAAGTAGGTAAATAAATAGGTCTATTTTCAAACCAAAATTTTTATTTAGGTAGGTATTTATCAAAGGTTTATTATAAATTATTACGCAGAACTGTAATTTTTTTTCTTTCATTCAATGAGGTTCGTTCATCCTATGATAATATGTGTATACTGTGCTATACTACTTGTGCATAGTATAGAATTTTCATTGTCATTAAAAATATATCGGATAGCGCCTATAATATATTACAATATTATCTAGGTAATCAAGATGAGGTTAAGCATAGTTTATGAAATACAGATCATGCATAATATTACTAATAAATAAATTATATCACTTGTTATAGCCGTAGTAATTTCGGTGCGGCGGGTACACCCATCCTTACTTAAGACTATTTTTATTTTTAAGTAATAACATTGTGCTTCTGTGACTATATTAATTTTTTTAACTTTTAATTAATAATCTACTCGCATGGATCAAGGCGATATTATAATTTCGAAATCCAAATATCGCTTTAGTCCATGGAACAACTATTAACAAAAAAAATCTTGGGAACCTATTCTAAACCCACCTTATCTATAACGACTTGTGGGGAGCTATATTATAATTTTTATTATTGGGGTTTTTTTTTGTGTGGTGGTTTGTAGGGGTTATGAACGATTATAAAGGGTATGCGCTAATGTCTGTATGTGGATTATTATAAAAACCTCCCCGTTCACAAAAAAAAATTGGAAATATGACATGGTTATCTATTTGCATGCGCAAATTGAGAGTATAGGTCCTGCGAGGGTGATAATTTACTGGTGAAAAATAAATAATCATGATAAAATATTAACAATTATATCTTGAACCGTTTAGGAATATCATTTTAGGATTCTTTAATAATTTACATTTACATAATGACAAAAATTGGCTTAAGTTGACAATAATATACATAATATACACTATACTGTCTACTACACTATAGGTATGAGACATTAATTATGTACCTAGGTATTACAGATGATGTGGTTGATTGAAAATAAATTAGACCCATATGGTAATTGGGGTTTTTTAAGACTGTAAACTTCCATAAAACTATTTTTAACTTAATCAAGAAAAAATGAGAAGAACATAATATAGAAACAAGCTGTTAAGAAAAAAAGCTTTACTCAGAATAATTGTTTTTAGATTTTTTTTAGATGTGTCACAATTAAATTTAATATTTTTTTTTAATGTGATAATCACGCTAAGGAATAATAAAAAATAATATTTTTGGTTTTTTTTTTTTGTGATAAATATAAAGAATTTTGTTCAAACAAAACAGAAACTGTACCTAATAATCTGGTAGTATATAGTAATATAGTATATTGTTGTATACATATGTTAAACCCACCTACTAAAAACAAATGTTCACTGGTCCAGTGGTGCAGTTATAGGTACCTACTACCTTTGTATGGACACACAGTAGTTGGAGCTTGGGTTACTGCTTACATGATAACATTATACTGAAAACTTTTGTAATTATTGATGTTACCTAACAATTAATCGATGGTTTTCTAGTAAGTTTTAAGACGATAATTTCAGTATTTATGGACTTAAACCTTTTTTTTCGATATAAGCCGAGTAACACTTAGTGTAATTTACTATTTTATTTATTGTAAACCGATGAGGTATCGCCATTTCGGCAAACCTGTCTGAAAAGTTTGTTATTATAATCATATATTTAATATAAGACGACGCAATTTGTGCCTATTTGACTACTACATACATAACATATTAACACCTCTTAAGATTAATTAATTAATAATAATTGTTGTATCAATATCGAAACGTTAATAGAGATTTATAAGGGTATATATATTTTGTCTCCCACAGTGTTATAGTATATTATTAAAACATAATATTTATTGTGTAATAATTAGAAAGGTAACATTTTACTTTTTAATATAATATATATTATTATATTTATCTCCATCGTCGACCAATATTGTCAAAATGTCAAGCTTAGTGATTTGGAAATTTGTTCTTATATTTTCCAACATATTATTATGCGTATAGAATTTTTTATTGTAATAATAAGTTGAGCAACGCAACAACACCAATTTAATTGCGCAACGCGCGTATATTAGATAACATAAAATTACCTATTTATAAATAAATAATATTAATTATTATAGTTTGTAAGAATTTGGTCTACGAAAATGTGTATTGAACAAAAGATATTATGTGCTCGTACCTATATACCTAGATATATTATAACCGAGTTGTCGAACGGAAACGTCCGGATGTTATATTATTTATACGATGAAATTATCATAATAACATATTACGCATGTACGATTTTATCGAGTAGAAAACCTTTTTTGTGGCGTCTACTAAATTTTTATCGAATATAATATTATTATACACTTATATGACGTGTGTGTGCGCGCGCATATATTATCAAATACACGAATATTATGGTATTATAATATATAATATAATATGTATATAATTATTATTATGAAAATGTTCCTAGTGAGTTTAATATGATATATATCAGTGGCGTAGCCATGAGGTCGTGGTGCTGAAGCATTCGTGGGCTGGAGCATTCGTGGAAATTTCTGGAAAATAAAAAAATGCTCTCAGTGTTCTATGTATTTAATATTTATGTATGAAGGAACCATTTATTATAGAATTGTTATTCCTATATAATGCTGTTCGCTGATAAGGGCTAAAAATATGTTATACGCCCATACGGCATCAGAGTATAAAACCTATGAAAGATCCTGGAGTATTAGCCTCCTCTATATACAATAAATTACCAGCTCTTCCCCCACTACACCGATCAAAACCCTGGCTATACGCCTATGATATACCTATCGACATTTCGATGATATGTATTATTCATACTATAAGTACCTAATATGATATGTTATCACTTATCCCATAGAGTCAAAGTGACTACATGAGCTCTAGCTCTAGTAGTTATTTACATTGTCTACAACAGTACAACATAATATTATATAATATGGAATCAACGAACACTCGTATATTAATAATATGTTGTACTTGGGATTATTTCGTAGATCCGATGACGGGGTAGGTAGTCGGTGGATTTTTCATAATAAATCGTGTTGCCAGCTTTAAACCCGGCGATGAGGGAGGAATATAATCTATTATAATAAAATTCCAGGACGGTATTTACATTTACACAATGTAATATCGTATTATTTTCCGGCGTCCGCCGTAAAAACCGTACGATAAACTTTGTTTTTATTTAAGTCTTTAATTTACATAATATTATAAAGGTTTGAAAGTCATACTAATAAAAAAATAATACATTAAAATATACAAAGAAATAAACATACGAACGACGAATATATACAGATAAAAAGAATGCACTTCGAATTTCATAACGATATAATATTATATTATACTTTATAGTTTATACACCGCAGTACTATAGACAACATCGACTATCGAGTATCGACCCTTCTGCAACGGTCTAACACGCATTGACTCGCGCCTCACTGCACCCTTAAACGATGAATAGGTACGATAATAATTATGCTCATAATACTTACGACACGGTTTCAACGTATGGTCTTGAGCATAAAACGGAAGGTGCCGCAAGTAAGAGGGAACATAATATGTCAATGTCAGTATGTCACTATATTATAATAATAAAATCATAACTTTCAATTGCCTGAAAATTACTATAAATCCAATTTTCACAGAAATATATAATTTGAGATGAGAAAAATTACCAAAACAAAATTTTTTGATATGACAAAAACCTGAACAGATTCTCGGAAAATTTTTTTTTTCACAAAACTGGGTAATACTCGGTCAAATGTCAAATGCCCGAACCACGACACAATAAAATATTCCCATCGTTTAACTTTGCGCACCGGCCATTATAATATAAATAATATTATACACATAGTAACTGCAGTTATGTAACGATTATCACCCTTTACGACGCGACACGACGACGTAGGTATATGCCGATATCACGGAGGCGTCATCAAATAGCTCGTCTTACAGTGGGCGTTGCGGGTAGCGGCCGCCGCGTGTTTGTCATCGGCGAAATGCGCTTCGATCTCGTCGAACCGCTTGCCCATAGTCTCGGGTAGACGGGCGTGCACGTACGCGGCCATGGCCAGCGATCCGGCAGCGAAGACGGCGAATGTCGTGGCCACGGAACCGCCGCCGTCGTCGGCCACCGCGTATGGGAACGCTTTGAGCACAACGAACATGAGAGTGTATGCGTACGCCACGAGAGAAGCGCCGGCCTCAGCCCGGACCGAAACGGGCAACAGTTCGCCAACCAAAGTCCACGGGAACACGAGCACGCCGGCCGAGCCGCTGCATGCGAACACCGAGACCCCTATAAGCGGCCACATTGGCGCCGCTGTTGGGCCGTAGGTCAGCGCAACCAGGGCGGCCGAGCACGCCATGGACAACGACGAGGCGATCAGGAGCGGCCGGCGCCCGACGTGCAAGGACAGCGCGCAAGCCGCCACGCTGGTCAACAGGCGGACAACGCCCAGAGCCACCATCGCTTCCATGTCCGAGTAAGGTCCACCGAGGGCATTGGTGCCAGCCACCGACCGCATGACAGGAACCGCGTAGAATATCACCGGGTAACAACCGCTCAGCTGCTGCAGAAGAAACACGGTGGCCAGCACGCGCACGGGCCGGGTCACAGTCCGCGGCTGAGGCGTACGCCACCAGCAGCACCGCTTCAACCTTCGCCGTTTAGTTGCTTGTTCGCAGCCGATGCAGTGTTGCGGGTGATGTACCTCCGGGCTATCCGCGGTGGTCGTCGAATCGGGGTACAGACGATCCAGTTCTTCCACGAACACCTGCGCAACAACAAAAAATTACTATTAACCTGTTAGCATGGACAGAATTTTTTTAAGGGGTGGGAGGCAACCAATTTTTCACTATACGTTTTTATACTTTTTAATACTATGATTTTTGTAGATAAATGTATATGTTTATATTAATAAACTAACAAAAAATAACTTTATAAATTTAAATACACTCGGCTTGTTTATACTCAACTATATAACTCTCTATACCTAGCCACCTAGGTACCTATACTTATGCTCCATTACTGTATTGAAATGTATGATAAAATAATGTACATCTTTGTTACTTAAAAATAGTTGAAAAATTAAAACTTTAACGTCTTTAACAGTCGGTACAAAGTTTACAAAAAACATGAAATTGTTAAATAATTAAAAATTATAACCTATATTTAGGTGATAGGTATATCTTTATAATATCTTTATAATCTTATATTAATAAGTAATAGGACACAGTAATATTTAGTATTTTATGAATTAAATAATATTATTTTTTTGCAGTCAATATCTTGAATTAACTCAAGATAAAACTTTTATGTTAAACATAAACTTGGTTATTCATTTAAAGTGCAGCAATTATTAAAGTGTTTATTTAAATAATTAATTATGAGTTTATCTTTGAAAGTCAGCATTATTAAGGGTTTTTGAAAAATAAAATAGTTAGTTTAGGACATTATTGGGCTATGATTTAAAAAAAAAAATATATATTCCTATATAATAATTATGTAAAATAAGAGGATGACAGCGTATTGTTTGTTTTCTCTGACCTACAGGCAACATCAGCAAAGCCCGAATTTTAATTTTACTTTAAATTATTAAAATAGAAAAAAAAACGTTTGAAAAATAACAGATATTATTCATTATTCAAATGCATATTTTAGCTAATATAACTGTTAACTATAATTTTGAAAATCAGGCTTTGACTTGATCCACAAAATGTTCTCTTTTCTTAGATAAAAACAAATGGACGAAATTCGACTAATCTACAGGATGTGTGAGTTTTTCTTGTAGACATGTTTTTGTATTAAAAACACACCGGTATTGACGCGCTTAACTCTAAACATAATCCTCTATAATTTTTGCAATAGGTGATTTTACTCTAAGGTTACTCAAAAATCATAAAACCAGATTTTACAAGAATGCGTTTTATGTAAAAAAATATTGCGCTGACAAGCTCGATGTCCTCTTGATGTAGGTATATTATTACGCATAATTTATATTTAAGCTGAAGTTGTTAATTATCTTATCTCTCATGCAAATCTCGAGTGTTTGTAGGTATATATAAATGTCTAATCATTAATATGTACCTAGAGGTATTTTATCACGCACGTGCACATAAACATTAAACACGTTTGTTGAGTGTTGTGAAAATCATGTTTTATATATTTGATGCCATGAAACTTTCGAAACTACGAAACTATTTTTATACTAGCTAACACTTGACACGTAGATTCATTAATATTATGTTACTTACATAAAGTAAATATACCTACTAAATAACAAAATACAAAATATATGGTTCTTTTATCTTTGTATACGTTCATAAAACGGATCGAATAATTTTATTGGTAAATATTAAAAGGTTAGTATATTATGCTATATTTATCTATTAAATATTTACTATAATTTATAATCAAAGGGGTTTCAAAACAAATTAGGTGCGTATCACGCATTCACTCAGCATGTTTCTGTACCTTGAACATCGTATACGTAGTATCGAATTTAAGATTGTTGAACTGCATATTAAAATAATATGTTATTATAATAAACAAAAACAACATTGGACCATAGGAGAACATAGGAGAATACATGAAGTAAGATGGGACAACCTATTTTCTCCAAAGTTCTGATATGAATAAAATCACTTTGGAATATTTTATGGTACCTAAATCAGATGATTTTTTATAAGAAACTAGTAAGTAAAAGATTTTTAGTATATACATAATAAACTCGTTTTCTAAAATTTAGTCTGACATATTTTATAAAAATAGCTAATCAATTTTAAGGTACGAATAATTAACTATTTCTCATTTAATCAATTTTACAATATCCATGTAATTACATTTGTATTTCGTAGTTCAGTTTTTTAAATTGTATTCAAAATTTAAACAGTTTTAAAATGTACGTCTTTGGTTGAAAATAATAATTAGCCTAGAAGAACGTAATGAGATAATTAGTTATATATGACAAATAATGTGGGGTAAATGACATTATCCCGTACTCCAGCTGTTTTATATTAATAATTATTTTATATATTTGTTCATATGTAATTCTAAATAAATGTTCTAAAATATTGGCTACCTATACAACTAAATATTAAAACCATAAAAGGCACATTTTTGTATTAAATAGTTATTAATTGTATCATTATTATTATTATTATTATTATTATTATTATCATAATTATAATTATTATTATTATTATTATTATTATTATCATAATTATAATTATTATTATTATTATTATTATTATTATTATTATTATTATTATATTATTATTATTGTTATTATTATTATTATTACTAAATTATTAAATTATGTTCAACATATATTTAAAATTATAAAAAATAAAAAAATGTTATTATAATTTTAAATAGTTAGCTATTAATAAGAATAAACTGAAATTTAAAAAGATATTAAGTTGAAATTTGTAATAGTCTTGTAAATTTTTTTTTTACTTATTTTACCCCTGCATTCAGGAGTTTTGCATTTTTAAATAAGAGTGTTAATACAAATTATAATATTTTCTTAAGATAGATACATAAGAATTTATCTTACGAGTATTTTATGATGTAAAGCCAAAAATTAGGTAGCCCTTTAATCTTTATATACTTGTGTCTTGTTTCATTCATCTACATGTCGGTAGTAAATAATATTTTTTATTTTTATTATCATAATTTCTGCACTTCTGCATATAGGTGATGGGTACCATATCTCTAGTGTGTTTATAAGTTATCAAAAATGTGTAGGAATACGTTGTACCTATATCACAGCAAATTGTAATTCGAGAGTTTTTGTCAAAATTATTAAACGAACTTGATCGTTCTTCGGGTATATTCTTCTCAACGAAGTCCTCGCGTCGTAGGTACGGTCGGACCGGAACTTGGCCAGCCAGACCGGACTCTCCGGCAGGAAGATGACCAGGAGCACCGTCGTGACAGCCGTGAATATGAAAAATATCACATTGACTGCCTGCCACTGGAACAGCGATCCGACGGTGGTGGCGAATAGTACGCCTACTGAAAAGAACACGCTGTTCAACGACAACAAAACTTGTCTGTGTGAAGCATGAGCTATTTCCGAAACGTAAACTACGACCATGGACGTCATGCCTGCAAATCGGAAACTGTTAAAAAAATCTGTACTTATAATATACAGTAGAACTTCCATATAACGGTCACTGAAGGGACTTTAAATAATGACCGCTATTTAGAGGTGCCCGTCCTACAGAGGTAGGATAACACTAGGAAAACACTCGACGGGACCAAAAAAATTGACCGTTACATAGAGGTGACCGTCCTATAGAGGTGACCGTTAATGGAAGTTTTACTGTACTAATATTTACCTATACAACTTATTAGTTATTGTATTCACCAAGTATGCTCCCTCCTATTTTATGCTTTAGTGATGCACTGGTTTCAAATTCTGATTTTAAATTTTCAAATATGCTCAATGTTAAACACTATATCTTCAAATATGTACTTCGATTTTGTAAGCCATTCAAACATAATTGAGGGGTGTTCAGTGGCAACACACGCCTCTTTTTTAAAACGAGAGCCCCTTTTTTTATTGAAAATTGTTAAGGGGCCTGCACGCGACCTGTTTTTTTGCTCAAAAACATGCCTTACAGGAAAAACTCTCACGCCTCGTAGATTGGTCCGATTTCCATAATTTTTTTTTTTGTTAGATAGAGGAAGACTTCTTACAGGGCGCATTGGACTTGGATTTTCAACATTATTTTTCTAAATCTTATGTTACAAGTTTGAATTTAATCAATTTTTACAACTTTTTAGTTTTTGTATTATTTTTTGTTTTTAGCGACGTAATCAAAAATCGAAGTCCAATGCGCCCTGTAAAAAATATTCCTCTATCTAACAAAAAAAAAATTACGGTTTCTGTTCTATGAATTATGATTGATTGTTATGACAAGACTTACTAATTTTACTGAAATGATAAGCCAAGCAGGGACACAAGATATACTAAGTTAGCAAATAAAATGAACAATATTTCAATTATATTATGCTCAGACAATCGATAAACATTAATCTTGGACTTAACTCAGCTGTTCATATTATATACTATAACCTTATTTACGGGCATGGATAAATACACCAATATTAACAAAAGTTTTCAAATCCGAATTATTATATTATTATTAAGAAATATGAGAAGAACTGGAAAGGCAGCAAACAATAATGTTCATTGCAAAGTTACATGTAGACTAGAGTTAATCATTTTTCTACAATATTTAATGTATATATTACGTTTATATGGTCATAAAATAATTTATAATTTAAGTTTTTAGTCAGTACTCGGTAAATACTAAATAGGTATTGTATTAGAAGACAAGGCCTGAGAATAATGATAAATCACCATATAAATTCAAGTTATGATAATTTCATTCAGTAATAATGAAATCGGGGTGCTGTTACAGTGATGTGATCACTGATCAGTGATCACTCACTACAGTAGAGAAACCAGTAGGTAAATAATGTGTAAATAATATAATAATTTAATATAATATGATCATTAAGTATAGGCAAATATTAGAATTTGAATAAATGCGTTATAAAAAAAAAAAAACAAGGATAATGAGCATGATCGATGTATCGCCCTGTACCGATACAGCCATAGAGGTATAACTGCTTCTCAATTTGTTTAGTTTTTGGTCAACGAGGATTAAAATATAATATAATTAAAATCGAATACATCATTGATATCGGAGGATTTTGGTATTAATTTAAGTAGGTAATAATTTCAGTATTATAATTTATTTTATTCGTGACGACCCTGCCGAGAGCTGTACTATAGGTAGCCAAGTAGGTACTATTATTAATTTCAAGACGGTCACTCGCTATAGATCCACCTATGTCCGTATGTCATATAGCCATATAGGTAAGTTATCGAGTCTTACCTCCGCCGATGCCAGCGAAAAATCGGCAAGCGTAGATTAGACGCATGTTTTCAGGCCGAGCAACCGAAGCGATCGACCAGGATATCAAGAGCGGCACAGACGTGAGTAAAAACGCGTTCTTCCTGCCGATCCGGTCCATTATGACGCCGATTGTGATCGCCCCGATTGGAGTGCATAATACCAGAATGCTAGCTAAAAACGCATAAGTACGTTTGTTATAATGTTATAGTAAAATTTATAATATAATATTGGGATGTTGTATAATCGATAATTGGAACCACAGACTGCGCGGCGTCAGATCGACTGACTTATAGACTCAAGTAAGGCATTGGTATAACTGGACCTATATAGGGCTGGTGATATTTAAAATGTCGATATAACTATACAGGAATTTTTTTACCACCGATGTGTGTGACAGTGTTTCCGGTAACTACCACGGTAATTACCGAATCACGACGTACCAAAAAGATTACTAGTCTAATTGATAACATTTATTAAACACGAATCTAATTATGCCCACACGGTTATAATCAGTAGGTACCTATTACGTAGAGTCCGATCAAAATACAAGACAATAGTATTAGAGTAGGTAAGTATATTGTTGTGTCCCTGATTTGAATACATTGACCGGATAAATAGCATTTCCCGTACGATAAATACGTTCGTGTTTTTAATTTTAATTTGTATTTACCCGTCGTTAATCAAAAAGTATATTATTATCTAGATATATTTGTGATTCGGTAATTTAGATATACACTTACTTAACCAAGATAACTCTGAAACATCTGTAAATTCGTAGTGATTCAGAAATATGTTCGAGTAAACCATATTGATTCCGGGCTGAGTGACCAACAAAAAAGCAACTACACTTGCTAATATCTAGGTAGAAATACGCGATTAGTGAGCAACATTCCAATTTTTAAAATAACCTTTTGTTATCTAGTTTTAGGTATATAATATAATATAAAATATTTTTTTAAATGAGATTCTGCAGTGTAGTTTTATAAACTGTATTTATTGTAACACCAACGAGAACCAATCGATATTGATAATATATTATACAGTCATATTAACCTGAGGAAAAAGATCTCTCCATGACAGTTTTTTCGTGGTGACATTTTGTTCGACATTTGTTATGATATCATTTGATTTGAATCTATGAAAACAACAAAATAATATTCAAGAAATATTTAAAAAATAGAAAATAATAAATTGTATAGGTCATAATTTATATAAATTATATAAAGATCTAGATTAGAAATTAGCTCATAAAAAACAAAAATAAAACATTAAGCAACTAATACTCAAATCAAATTGCAAACACCAAGGTCACTTTATTTTAGATTATAAAAATATGAAATCGAAAGTTTTAAAATTCACAAGAGTAATAATGAGCAAATACATATATAGGTTATACAGATATACAGATTATACAAAAATAATATACGACTGTAAAAAATATAATCGCAATATTATGTGAGCATTTTACAGAATTATTACTTTGTTGTATTTTTTATTTTTTACTCACTGTATTCCATTTGAAATGGTTTGATGATTTTTCCAGACGCATGAATTCCTGGAAATAAGTGGTGTAGTAAACGTACTATACGCCATTGTATATGATATGATGAATGAACAATAAATATGTGCTGCAACATCATGATGTATCTAACGTGTATAGTGGATACATTGATACAATGTACGAATTCGATTCTTTTTAGCGTACTTTGATATTATTATATAGCAATGCCTTATCTCATAATTTTAATTATTGTACGCTGCACCTAGTGAAATGTATGGATTTAGTTTAGTACATATTATTATGGTATGAAGGTATACCTACGCATTGTATAGAAACGGAATATAACTAAAACGTTATCTGAAATATTAAGCAATCGCGTCATAGTTATATTAGATCATTCCCAATTATTGAAAAAATAAATGTCTGTTATTGTCTACAAATTCAATACATCCATTAGGTACAGTGTGATATAATATTAAACACACTAATTTGTCAAGGAAAATCACATGCATATTATTAGTCGGCCGTTCGACAACACTTCGGACTTCCTGATTTTTATACGATTAATACACTAATACACAGAATGTATTATTATTATAACATAAAAATTATTATCCGGTTACTAAATACCAATTCAATCCCGGCGGCCAGCCTGGAGTAAACCGACGAGCTACCGAGACAATATCTGTGGGCCTCGTAAAAAAAATGGGCCGGTACCCGGTAGCCAAAAACAAATTGACTGTTATTATTTTCTGGCAAATATATTCGCATTTCTAGATGGTGACATAATATAGAATAATAATATAATATGAATCCAAAGTGATGGTTAATAACTATGAATGCGTCAATAGTATATTACTGTTATTGGGCATTCCACTCTCAAGAATCGATAGTGCACGCGACACGCCGACGTCGTCTGTAATGAGACGTAATGGGTAATTTGTCCGTAATGTAAACGTCGTGATGTGTTCTGTATAAAACTATATCAACTATAATGCATAGTTGTGTGTTTCTATACGTATAAGTGAGGTGCGAAACCACTTTTTTATAACTTAAATATTTCCTTAACCACTGGAGAAATTGTTGTCTTTCTCAGCCAAAACTAGAGAAACTTCTTTTAATGTCAGTTGAAAAGGACTTATAGATACTTCAAAATATCTAATGAAGATGTTGTTAATTTAATTTATAATAAAAGCCAAGATTCGATGAAGTTGTTGAAATACTAATGAAAAAAAAATACAATTTAATGATTTAAATTTAAGACTTTTATTGATACTAATCGTAATATTAAAATGTTTAACATTGTTTACAATCGATTATTAAGTTATTCAGATAAAAATAAAATTATTCATATGTTTAGTGAGGTAGTTATAATTTATAATATTATAATTTATAATTTTATCATATTTATAACCATATGATTCATTATAATTTTAAGTTATTAAGTTTAATTATAAAATATATTGATGTTTATCCCTAGGCAATAATCATCTTATTTAATGCCGGAAATAAGAATATTTTTTTAACCGTAGGTATATAGGTACATAATTAATAAGGAATTTGTTGTTAACTTTATTGGGTAAGATTGATTATCAGTATTATATCAAAATCTGATATAAACTAGAATTTCCTAGTAAAAATGAATATTTAAATAATCTTGTGTTTCAATTTTAACTAATTTTAATCATTATTAAGTTAAACGATTTTTATTTTAAAATAATAATATAATCAATAAATATTTAAATAATAATATTAATTATATAATCAATGGTATTGTGCATTAAAATATAATATGTACTATGTACATACAATATAATATACATTTATATCTAAAAGCAAATCTAATTTTAAATTTATAAAGTTATAAAAAAATGGTTAAAAATGGTTATATACTAAGGTCATAAGTGTAAGATGGAATAGGTAAACATTGCATACATCTAGTGCTATTAACTAAATAACTTATATAATATTATTGAGTTTCTTAATATTTCCTTTTGGTAGCTTTTTTATGCGTATAGTTTAATGCATATTAATATATTGGACATTTTAAATTATCTGGATACTTAATTTTATTGTTTAATGAAATAGTGACTTTTTGACAAAAATTGATTTATTGCACAAAAACATTATAATCAATGCACAAAATTAAATCTAAAAAAAATTAACTTCATTTTGTTTGGTTTTAAACATACTATAACATTCAAAATTATTACGCAGTTCGGATGATGCCTTGTGAACTAATTGTGGCATATGGCCGTGTTGTTTTAAATTTCAAATAAGTAAACAAGTAAAAAAATTATAGAAAAACTGAAAAAATAAAGTGAAATTAATAAAAATATTATCTAATTATCTGCAGATAATTAGATCACAGTTTTATTTATATAGATAAGATAAAAATATATTGTTATATAGATAATGTATAACACTATCAGTGGGTTGTTTTGGGTATTGAAACACCCCACATCGGCCGTATTTATCCAAAAAAATATGTACTATAATAGAATAATACTATATGTATGATTCAAATTTATACAAAATATTAAGAGTTCAAATTGGTCTATTTCATATTAATAATATTATTAATTGAAAGATCGATGACTACAAAGAGTATATGTAAGCTCCTCACATGTTATATATTTTTAATATAAAAATAAAACACCTCCCTAAAAAAATTCTGGTTACGCAACTGTACCTACTATAACATATGTGTGCAAAACTAAATATAAAATGAATAAATTAAATATCATGATAGAGATTAGAGAATGCGGGTAGGTACTTCAAAGTACCTAGCTTAGACCAAAAATATCACTAAATAATAATATTTTTTTATAAAATCAACAGTGTTGAAACACTATCCAGGTAACAAAAATTGTGATGAACGGGATTATTAGTTACCCATTATTTTACTAATTATAATCTAATCTACGCGTAAATTGAACTCGAAATTAGAATACCTAGTTATATTATTTAACGATTAAATAAATTGTACCAGTTACCAGAACACAATAATTTGTATGTAAACAGTTTATTATTAATTATATATATTCGTAAATATTCAGCGCAACTACACTTGAAACGAGGATTTACTATTCATAAAACATATTATATTACATACACTATATGCTTATATTATTATAAAAATTACGTAGTATACAATAACAAGTTAACACTTAGAATTAATATTGTTCGTATTGATTAACTTTAGATTAATATATACTTACGCAAATATTTTAATCTATGTATACATAATATTTTATTAGTCGAGATGAGACGGGAGAGGTTTGGCGTGATTAGAAAAATATAAGTTTGAGGGATAATTATATAAACTATATATTATATAATTATTGTACATAATTATTAATATTATATAATATATATATAGGTATAGACTATAAAGTGTTACCCACTTTTTCCGATATACGGGTGGGTTCGCCGCTCAAAATTCCACCCACATATTGATGACGAGGAGTGGAGCGGTTGCAAATGTTCGCCAAACAGGGGGAGAGATATAACACAGATCTGGGAGTGTATATTATATTATCGTGTTATCGGCGAACGAGTTTTATGATGGCTTATTCGATCGCGTGAAGTAATCCTCTATTTCTCGGAAGCTCTTACCCAACGTCTCGGGCAGGACAAAATGCACGTATACAGCCATCGACAAGGACACGACGCCGAACATGAGGAACACGTGTGGCACTGAAACGGCGGCCATCATGTAAGGAAAAGCCTTGAGAACGGCGAACATGATCAGGTAAGCGTACGACACCAGCAAGCAGCCACCGACCGCCCGGACGGGCGTGGATAGCAATTCGCATACCATCGTCCACGGAAACACGAGCACGCCGACGGAACTGCTGAACACGTACAGCATGACGCCGCAAAGGGGCCACGGGACGACAGTGGCATCACGGCTACTGTGCGTAACCACCACCAGGATGGACGACAGCGCCATGGCCACGCACGAGAACACCAGCAGAGGTTTCCGGCCCACGCGCAACGACAGTACGCACGCCAGCAGGCCAGACGCGAACCTGACAGCACCCAGCGCGGCCAATGACTGGATATCAGAGGCCGGCGGGTAGGTGGCGGGCATCACCGACTTGAGTATGGGCAGTGCGTACGATATGGTCGGGTAGGCGCCGGTCAGTTGCTGGAGCAGCAGCAGCAGCGCCAATATAGCCATCGGCTTGTACGCCGCGGGACTGGACCGGACGGACTCGATGAATGACGATTTCCGGACGTCCGTGCAGGCGATGTCTTCTGACGCGGATTTCAGGCACCTCCACTCGGCTTCGAACACCTGCATGACAAGCGCGTCGTTTTACGTTTACTATTTGGGGACGGTCACGACGAATTGGTTCCCAGTTTCCCAGTTTCACCGGACAATGTGCACCAAGTTTTACCCCTTCTCCACTTTGTCTTATCTACTTACAAATACCACCAAATAATTGCAAATCTAATTTCACTAATATTGTAAATCTATTTTTATATTTTTACGATTTTCAATTTTGCAGCCAGTCCATTCCCCCACTTTGTCCAATTGACTGCATGTATATCATCGCACACACATCATCCGAATTGGTACTTTCATATTATTGTTTATTCACACACAATAGGAAGTCATCACAACACATCGGCAGTCGCCAAATTGGTTGATGTTTAAATTTGGGATTTACCTATTTTACCGAATACCCATCTATACTGGTCGTATTGGTTCCCGTTTTTCGCAGGAAGATATAAATAAGTATAGTCAAGTGGGGCACATTTTTTGTCCTAATTAAATATTATGATTTTATTATTAATAATAATGTTTGTATACTAATTTCCATTTTAAATCAAATAATTATTATTAAAAAAATTTAATATATTATATACATAGGTAATACCTGTAGAATGTGATATATTAGGTAATATGTATTGTGCATTGTGTATATATATATGTACATACATCTATCATCGGCTTATTTTTAGATTTCAGATACCTATTATATTTTTCAGATTCTGAGTGGAACGATGAATGTATTGATTTTACATTGATGTGTGTTATTTTAGATTCTGAGTGAAACGATGAATGTACTGATTTTACAATGATGTGTGTTTTTTTTTTGTTTTTTTTTTTTTATTTTTATATTTATTTTTTTATTTTTTTTGTGTCTGTGTACACGATAAGTATTCGAACAGTAATAATACTTCGATTTTCGACTTCAGTATCTTGTTCGATTGGAAAGTGAATATCGTTGGTGCATTGGGGAGGTCAAAATTTAAAATTCCCAGTACTTTTCAAAAGCGCCAAGAAAAACAAAAGAAAAATGAAGGAAAAACGGGAATTTTTACGCAAAATTGATTTTTCAGAAAATTGAATTTGGTTTTTGCTATAACTTTAAAACAGATGACCGTAGATACATGAAATTTTCAGTGGTTGTTTATATTTGCATTTTCTATACACGATAACATTTTCAAAATATTTTGATTTATTTTGAACAGTTTAGAGACATTTTCATTTTTCATTTTTTTTTAGTTTTTTTTCTAGAAATATCAATTAAATTTTATTTGTTGGTTAAAAAAACTTGAAAATTCAATAGAAGGCTCCTAGTATATGGTTTGAAAGGCAGATGAAAAATATTAAAAATTGTTAGTCACAGTTTTTTTTTATAAGCATTTAAAGTTCAAAAATTGACAAAATATGGAAAAATCACGAAAATTAGCAAATTATTTTGAGTTAAGAATTCGTAAAAACTTTTCTTTTTAAATCTAATATATGAAAATGTAATACAAGGTTCCTTATAAGATTGTCTACCTTTATCAATAAAAAAATTTCTACCGGAAAGTCAAATTAAATTTTTATGAGCGTTTGAAATTCAAATTTTTACAACATTGGATATTCACTCGATTTCTCATGTGGCGATTTCCTTTTTTTGTTGTAATTCAAAAACGAATTACTGTAGATACATGAAAATTTCACTGAATGTTTATATTAGCATTTCCTATACACCATACAATTTTGAAAATATTTTGACTCTTTTGAGCCGTTTACGGACATTTTCAGTTTTCAATTTTTTTAGTTTTTTTTTCTATAAATATCAATAAAGTTTTATCTGTTGGGCCAAAAAGTGTAAAAAATTAATACAAGGCTCCTGATATATTGTTACAATAGCAATTGAAAAATATTAAAAATACATAGGCACAATTTTTTTTTATAAGCATTTAAAGATCGCATTTTGAAAAAATTTATCAAAATCTCGAAAATTATCAACCATCGTAATTAATAAATTATAAAATGTTCAGTTTTTATAGCTAAGGATTGCAAATTTAATAAAAAGATTCTCATAAATAGTTCATACTGTAGCCAAAAAATCTAAAAAATATATGAACACAGTTATTTTTTACAGACATTTTAAGTTCAAATTTGGGACGAAATTACATATTAAAAAACCTATCATACCTATTTTCGTTATTTTGTTGTGAGTGTATAATACTATTCGTGGGTACTTGAAACTTCTAAAGTACACTATATTATATATCTATGATAGTATCAGGGTTTGTTATTGATGTATAACGTGTTATAAGTACCTAATGGATAATGTGATATGATTAATTTGGAATTTATTATAGGTCAATTTTTTTTTTAATACCATAGATATGTATATAATTGCCTTAAACCTAGACTGACATACCGTCTTCGCTCAGAATCGTTTTTCTTATACAATGATATTGTATCATTGAATTCAAATTTAATAGCATCCATTATACAGTGACCCACTTGTAACCTACTGTACAGCAGAGCGACATCCACTTACCCACCTTTTTTTTATTTATTTTTACTTATTTTTTTATTTTTTATTTTTTGTGCCGTCATCACCTTTTAAGACAATAAAAGTGCTTGGATTTTCTTCAACAGTACCTACAGTATCTTTTTTGATAGTAAAGTGAATGTAGTTGGTATTTTGGGGTTGTCGAAAGTCAAATTTTTCAAGTAGTTTTCAAACGTGCCGTGAAAAACAAAAGAAAAATTAAGGAAAAACGGGAATTTTTACACAAAATCTGTTTTCGAAAAAATCGATTTTGGTTTTTTTGTGCAACTCTTAAACAATTTACCGTAGGTAAATGAAATTTTGACTGAATGTTTATATTAGCATTTTCTATACACCATAACATTTTTCAAATATTTTGAGCTCTTTACGGACATTTTCAGTTTCCATTTTTTTTTTTTTTTCTATAAATTTCAATAAAGTCTTATCTGTTGAGCCAAAAAGTGTAAAAATTGAATACAAGGCTCCTGATATATTGTTACAATATCAGTTGAAAAATATTAAAAATACATAGGCACAATTATTTTTTATAAGCATTTAAAGAACGAATTTTGACAAAATTTATCAAATTTAAAATTGAATAGTTATTTAGTAGTTAAAAATTTATAAAATGTTCAACTTTTATATCTAAGGATTAAATATTTATAAAAGAATTTCACGTAAGTAGTTGATTCTGTGAAATCTAAAAAATAAATAAACACAGTTTATTTTTATAGTCATTTTAAGTTCAAATTTGGACGAAATTAGGTACATTAAAAAACCTAGAATAACTATTTTAGTTATTTTGTTGTGATTGTATAATATTATTCGTGGGTACTTGAAACTTCTAAAGTAACTACACTATTATATATCTATGATAGTATCAGGGTTTGTTGTTGGTGTATAACGCGTTATAAGTACCTAATGGATATTGTGATATGATTAATTTGTAATTTATTATAGCCTTTATAGGTACCTATTATAGGTCAATTTTTTTTAATACCATAGATAAGTATATAATATGTCTTATACTTAGACTGGCATACCGTCTCCGCTCAGAATCGTTTTTCTTATACAATGATATTATATTATTGAATTCAAATTTAATACCATCCATTATAGTACAGTGACCCACTTGTAACCTACTGTTCAGCAGAGCACCTTTTTTTTTTTACTGTGAATGTCAATAAATCTTTATTTGTTTTCAACTTTTATAGCTAATTATTGAAAATGTAATACAAGATTCTACGTAAATAGGTTTTATATAAATTACTTTATTCGCCTTAGTATCGCAACCGACCACTTAAACCACTCGGTCATTCCGTCCCCCGATACCTATTATAGTAATTTTATTAGTAAGCTGCAATAATGATAATAACTGCATAGGTAATTCTATACAATCTAGTTACCTATATATGTCTTACATTATATGATCAATTAGCACTGATAGAAGAACCACATGGGTCAAAATATCATTATTTTACTCTCTATGTATAATTTTGACATTTTATTGAAGTCATCTAGGAGACGTACAAATAATCATGTTTTTATTATGAAAACAATTTCTGTGGGAACCAATCCGGACGTCCGTTGCATAAGATATCGGGAACTAATTCGGATAATATATTAATGTATACAACCAAAATAATAATAATAATAGTATACGGTCGGTTGAAGAATATACGTCTTTAACTATATGGTATTATAATACCTGATTGTTGTTCGGGTAAATCTGTTTCATGGCCATTTTGGCTTTATCAATGTGCTCGGAACTCTTAAACTTCAGTATCCATATCGGACTCTCCGGCAAGTAAATTATTATGAGCAACATGTTAACGGTCGTGAAGATGACGAACGAGAAGTTTATGACTTTCCAGTTCAGGTCCGCCAAACAGGTGGAGAGCAGTATACCACCAGAAAAGAAAACGCTGTTCAGAGACAACAAAATCTGCTTGTACGACGAGTGACTGATTTCCGACACGTACACTATGCCCACCGTGGTCATTCCTGAACGATTTGTTAAATATAAACATATAATATAACATTGGAGTTATTATTTTGTACAATGAATTTTTACATTTGTATACCTGCACCGATCCCGGCGAAGAGCCTAAATGCATAAAACGTGTAGATGTTATCAGAACTTGAAATAGTCGCTATTATCCATGACGCCAGTAATGGTAAGCAAGTCAAGAGACAAGCCTTTTTCCGACCAATCCTATCCATCACCAAACCGACGAGAAACGCTCCAACGGGTGTGCACAATACCGAAATACTTGCTTTCATAAAGAACAACATTAAAACTTCGCATTAACTATAGGTATACTTAAACACAAAATCTTAAAGCATAATATACATATTATTTTATTTTATTTTATTTTTAATAAGACATATGCCCAATTTATAATTTGTACATTTAATTAACATTATAACCAAAATATAGTGTAAAATTAATCTTAATAATAACGTTATGTTATATATGATAAAATACAAATTTAAAGCAGGGTTATTCAATATTTTCTATAATGTGTGGCTATGACGTATTTAAGGGGTTGGGTCCACCATAATACCATATTATAGTCTCCCATCAGCCCCATAAATAACTATTTAAATATCTAATATATCTATTACTATATATTCTGTAGCGGAGCACCCTCACTTAAATGTTTAGGAAAATTAAATAGACCCCCTCCATGAAAAATTTCTAAATACGCCACTGAGGTGTAGGTGTCAGTAATGGTAAAAGAACAATTCGTTTTTCTATGTGATACATTTTATTGAATATTATTTTTTATTTGCAGCATAATATAGAATAATTAAAAATGGAAATAAATATATTACCACAGATTATATGAAATATATATAGGTAATATTATATAAACTGTGATATTACTTAGTGTTACTAACAAACTTAGTGTTAGCAGTTGAGGTGCATTTTTAAATGATATAAGATAAGATACGAATTTGTATCTGTAAAATTATAAATTAAAATTTTAGGAAAAGGTTGTGAAATATAAAAAACCATGATCTCAATTCTTCATCTATCTTTTTTTGAGCTCTTATAAAATTTAAAGGTAAGACTATATTATCTAGACAATGACATAGGCTTTTTAGCTCAATTCGCTCTAATTTTTAAACTTACGGAGATAAATGTATTCTCCTGAGCATAAAATTTGCTATGTTACGCACTTGTAAGACGGAGACAACAAATGCCACTGTAGCGTCCCCTTAAATAATAAAATTATGACTGAACCAATTGTTTATATAGGTATACAGCGTTTTTTATAGGGGGACCAATATTGTCCTAATAAGCCCATCAGTGCTACCATGACTCGTCATTGTTACTTTCCAAAAAAAATATTATAATAATAATGATAGAATGATGTTAATCAACTTTACAATCGACAAAACAGCAATGTTAATTTCAATGAATCATTTAACAATTATTTTCTAGCAGAACTAATCGTAAAAAAAATTCTCTGGGAAAAAAAGTTGATAGGTAATATATTTTTATTATTTTAAGAAATAAATAACATTGGAGGCAGCAACGGGATTCCATATTGCCATCCCTGCCCATGATTCCAAAATGAAAAAAATAAAATAAATAAATACCTTAAATATAATTCTATACAATATAAATAGGTACTTACTTAAGATTTATATTAGTGTATTAAACGTGGCTAAAAATAATATTTTTATTTTTATTATTTTTTATATAATCATTTTTGTTGACTTTTATAATTTGTTACTACCATTATAATAATTGATTATTATTAGTAAATCACGAGTTCATAGTCTCAATTGAAACGTAATTATAAACTTTTAAGAAGTCAAATATAATAATATAATGTAACGAAAAATCCCCGGAAAAAATCCCCGGTAAAAGTCCCGGTAAAATCCCACGGAAAAAAGTCTCCAATAATATGATTTAATTCAGTCTTTTTTCTAGGTATTATATAGGTACATACCCATAGATAGTACCTATCATTACATATTTTATTGACAATTACAAACACTAAATTAAAAGAATTTTAGGAAAATTATGTAGAGAATATTTATTGAATTATGTACATTTTAATTCATTGAAATAAGTCTTAAAAAAATGAAGTTCGATGAACATTTATGCAACGTTTTGATGAGACAATCGGCAGATACCTAATTTTTTAAAGCAAATAGGTCAAAATATAGAAGAGATCTTTTTATATCTGAATAATTACACTTTTATATTTTTTAAATAATATTATAGGACATATTGTATTCAATTTTTAATTATTTTACGAGGGGTACATATCTAAATAAATACATTTTTATATTTTTTTAAATAATATTATAGGACATATTGTAAGGTACCTATTTAATTTAGTTGTTTGTTAATTATGTTCAATAAAATATGTAACATGTATTACCTATGGGCTATGTACCTATATACATACCTATATGATAATGAATTTAAATCAAATATTAATTTGGAGACTTTTTTTCGTGAGACTTCTTACCGGGGACGTTTTTCCGAGACTTTTTTCCGGAGACTTTTTTTCCTAATATCAAATATAATATAATATGGGTACTTTAATTCTCGGTTAGGTTTGGTCACGGACATTAGATCTAATATTCGAGGTTTGTATGACAAGATTGTGTAGTCTCGGCCTTTCGAGTAATATTTTTCTACCAGCCAATAATTTTGTATAGTGACCCGTTTAGTCAAATTTTAATATCAATAAATAATTATGATCTTTTGGTAGCGAAGTATTGACGGATTGTCAATTGTGAAGGTTACCAATTTAGATAAAATAAAAACGAATTGCAAATACGGGTTGTTAAAAATTGTATATACGTGTATTCAAACAAAATAGATAAAAAGTAAAATTCAACAACGTGAGTATAAAATAACGAGTTTTTTTGGGTAGCCGGGAGTAACGTTACGTATCACATTTGTTGACAGTATATACCTAGCTGTGATAAAAATCGCAATTATTAATAGTAGCCTATTAGGTAATATATATATTATTATATACAGTCTTACAGGCAATGTTTGCAATTATTAAGTTTAAATATGTTAGTAGTTATTACCTATCCATGACAATTGATCTTATTTTGGACGGCATATGATGCAACATATTATTTGAATAAGCTACTTATTCCCGGTTGAATCACCATTAACAAAGATATACAACTAGCCAATACCTAAAAAAAATAATCTTATAAGTTATACAACATTAAAATAATTATTTTAATCAATATATTAAGTCAAACGAATTAAAAACATACTTGAGGATATAAATCTCTCCATAAAAGACTAGAAACTGAATATTTTTCAACCTCGACATCTACAATTATATTCTCTGTTTTCCTGCAGACAAATTAATCATCTCAAACGCATAAATATTAAATTGTAGTACCTATATCAATAAACCAAACATGTTTAGCTTTAATACGTACCTATTGTTTCCAATTAATTTATTTTGACCATCATCATCAGTTGTATATTTGTCTATACTAATTATACTTTTAGTGTTTATATTGCAGTCTGAAATAAATGTTTTGAATTTTAAACTATTAAAAATATGATATAGTTTAATTACGAACTATTATTCTCTGGCGAAGTGATTTTAACCGCAGTAATTTTCTCATTGTGATCTTTGATATTGCTCATTCTGTTACCCTAAAAGTTAAATTGTCAAAATAAATATTAAATATTTCTAGCCACTAGCATTTATGAACATTATATTGAAGATTTAATTCAGAACAGCAATACATTGAGAATATCTATCTATAGAATACTAGTAAATGTTTGAAACAAATAGTATATATTATTATATACATGTAAAGTGATAGTATTATATTACAATACGATTCGGAAAATGTATATCAAATTATACCAACAATAATCATTTAAGGTCATGGAGATGGACATGCGCATTGATATTATATTGTAAATAATACACTAAACTAAAATAAGATGAATACTGCAATGATGTAATAGATTTGACATGCATATGTATGTGCATGTGTATCGATTGACTTAGGCCACAGTTTTACGACAATATATTTGTTACTACGAACCATTATAGAAATTAAAAATTAGCAATAACGTAGACAGCTGATAGCTTATCCAGTTTCTACGAGCCTCATAATTATTTATTAAAAGAGGAGCCTAAAACGAGATACCAATAGGATTTGACAGTTTTAGAACATTTTACGTTGGATTAGTATTTTGCACAAAAAAAATGTGTAAGATTTTATTGTCACTTAAAAATATTAAAATTATTATATAATTAAGATTACTATTAACTAGGTACATATGCACAATATTATAAGTTATAACTATTTGAGAGACGAATAGAGCTATGAATTTATTGCGACCTTTTGACTACCTACCTATTCAGTTGATTAATCGACAAGCAGAAAGGTGTACCGCAGTATGTATTTATTCCGTAGGTACATATCCTATTGGCTGTTCCATAATATAATATTTGACTTTTGGATTTTCTTATACAAGAAGGTTAATTGAAATTGTGTTATTACGATTAAATTCATTGTCTTGTATTTTATAACGAAACAATAGGTACCTAACCTATCTTCTAACAAAAACTAATAGACATACGCTGGGTAGAAATAAGAAATTACTGAAACCTAATCACATAATAATATTAATAAAAAGACTTGATAACGTGGGGACGATTAAATCCCATTTATCAGTTATCGCTTTTACCTATTATTATAGTAGTTTGCATAGAATATAGAATTACATGGTATTAGTTACCTATTACTTGTTAGTTTTCTAACTCACGATTAATTTTCATTAATGTCTTATATTAATTAGATTACATAATATAAAGTTATAGAAAGTTATAAATATAATTTGTAGACCTAATATTTAAAATTGTATATTATTAATACATAAACATTGAAAATGAATAACTGAATAATAGGTACCTACTACCGTTACAATTATTATAAACATTTTATTTTTTAAAACATAATTTGAAGAATTTTATTTTTGGATTTAAATTATCTGTACTCACTATCGAGATTTGAGATTGTGGTGATTTCGTAGACCATCGGTGATCAAAATAATTAAATAGACCTTGTCATAACATCATATTTAATTATATTATTATTTTCCTGCTCCACTGTATCTTATTTTCTTCCTATAGTTTGCGTCAACGTTTAACTTCATTAAATATATTTTTAACATATTTTCATATTTTAACCAAACTTTAAAAAACATTTTTAATATAATTGGGAAGACAGGTTAACACTTTGAGCGCTGTTGATGACTATCG